GATGGATTCTTGTAACCTATTAATATTTATTTTATCTTCTAATTTTTCTTTTTTTTTACATAGTTGAGACAAAAAAAAAAAAACTATAAAAGAAATAAAAATAAAACTAAAAAAAAACAAAAAAAAACATATATTTTGAAAAAAAAAAAGCAAAAAAAAATATAAAAACAGTAATAATAGCATATTTATATCTGTGCAAAGGCCTAAAAAATTATATAGTAATTGCAACTAATTAATATATCTTGCTTGTAAAGCTTTGCTTTGTCATTTGAAACTTGTTCTAAACATGTTACCAGGATTAGATATTTTCTAAACAGAGGTGTTAGTCTTTTTTCTGTACTGTAGTACTGTGTTAATAAATACAACAAATATTCTACTAAATTTGTCTGAGTTAGATAAGTATAAACAATGCCAATCTTTTGAGAAGATACTTATATTTTGTTAAAAATTTTGGTATAGTCAGCAGAGAGAGTAGAAAAAAGAAAAAAGCCACACTTGTACTAAATAAAAAAATATATTTCCTTAATTAAATTAACTAAAATCTCTATCAAAATATATATAGTACTAAGTTTTTTTAGTAAGTGATAAACTCTAAACTTGTTGACAAATAGTATATAAGAACTATCTCTAAATAACAAATACTGTGTTTATAGTAAGTAATAAACTTTAAAACTACTGGCAAATAGTATATGAGAACTATTTCTAAACAATAGTTACCAACTTCTGAATCTATTTCCTACATCTTTACAGTTTAATATCAACTCTCTGTATTTTTTTTAGTTTTTAGTTTTTAGAAAATTTTTGGTACAAATAATTGTTAAAAAAAGTTAATATATAGAGATTTTTTTATAATAAAAATTATAAAAAAAAATATATATAAATTTACTATAAACTTTAAGTTTAATATTCTTTTCAACTTACAAATTAATTTATTTTTAAATTTTAGAATTAAGTATATTAAAAATAGTAGAATAAGCTAATATTTTAAAATTTAATAAAATTTTAAGATTTTACTAATAAATTTTTTTTAAAAATAAATTTTGTTAATTTTATAACTACAATTATATATAAAATTTTATATTGAACAAACTTACTTAGAAAATAAAAATAAATTAGTAAAAAAATAAGTTTACTATATACAAATAATAAATCTTTTAGTTTTCAATATATAACTTTTTTTTGTATCAAGACAATCTATCTTTATCTCTAAGTAAACTTGTTTAGAACAAAATTTTTTTTTTTTTTATTAAATATAATATTATAATAAAAACTTTATTACAATAAATCTAAAGATTAATAGTTTTATAATTATTAGAAAGACTTGGGTAAGAAGACAGATAAGTTTTTGGACTAGGCTGCTGAATTTCTTTAACTTAAAACTAGCTAACAACAAGAAAGTATAGTTTTAGAAAGAATTTTTATAGTAAAGATTTCTAACTATACTCATGCTACAGAGTACCCAATATGATATTATACCTCCTATTTTCTATTTAATACTAATATTAAATTAAGTAAATAAAATAATTTTAGTTAGAATAGGTTGAAAAAAACTTTAAGATGTTAATTATAATATTATAAAAAACATGTTGTTAGAGAAAAGCCTTGAAGATATTATTTTTCAATAGCTGTACATAGATCTATTAGATATAAAGAGAATCTATATAGATTTATTTAGTTAAAAAGTAAAGATATAGAAAATTTGATATATTTGGTCTTAGATATAATATTTTAGGCAATTTTCTATTAATATTAAAAAGAGTTGTGTTTGAACCTTATTTTATAGTAAAACTAGTATAAGAGATTATTGGCTAAGTTGATAAGTAAAAACTTTGTTTGTTTTTTAATTAAGATTTTAATATTATAGTATGTTGCTCTAGAATATATTCCAAGAATAATAGGAATAAGAGAGTTGTATTAAGTATTAGAGCAATTGGTTGTTATTAATTAAAAGATGTTAAGAAATATAATAAATTAAATAGATACAAATTAAAGTTGTTGAAGTGTATTAGTAGTTATATTGATAAGTAATTTTTAAATATTTTTAGTATTTTTGGAATATAGTAGTATATGAAAAAAATCTTCAATTAGAGAGTATTTATAGTATTTATTTGTTATATATAGATTTAGATAGTAAATGTTAAGATTTTGTATTGCTAGAAAATTGTTTATTAGGATTTTAATATAGAAAGAGTATTTATAAGAGTTGTATTTTAAAGAGTTAAGTATTTTGAATATCAAATTCTAATTTATATTTGATATATAGTTGCTAAAAAGTTTAAGAGATAACCAAGATATAAGTTTTTGAATTGTGATAATATTTTTAATAAAGAGTATGCTTTGAATATAATAATATAGTTGTTCTAAGAAAGGTTGACAGAAAGGTTGAAGTATGTATAAGAAATTATTAAAAGAGGCTTAACAAAGCTTTGTTTGGCTAACAAATTAGCTTGATTATAAAGAGAGTTGGTTAAATATAATTAACTTTGATAAAGTTAATAAAAATATTTTTAGTAAATTTAATAGAGTTGATAATAAAGATTATGTTCTAGTTTTTGTATTGAATAAGTTTGGAAGAGGAGATATTAAGGTTTTTAATTGCTACTAAACTATTAGTTAGAATAATAATAGTAGAGTTAATTAGAATAACAAGCAGAAGAGAAATAAATACTATTAGAAGAGATTGTAATATTAAATTTAAAAGATTGGTTATTTTCACAAATCTAGCCTATACTAGTTTGTATATTTGCAGTTTGAGAATTTTGAATAGAAGCATTTGTAGCAAATTAAAAATTAGTTATATTTAGATTTAATATATTATTGTATATTTAAATAAGTTAATATTGATAGAAGAAGATTTGATAATATGGTGTATTAAGTATATTTTATAGAAAAGAATATTAATTTGTAGTTGATGAAAAGAAAAGATTGGAGATAGATTAAGATTATTAGCAATATCAATAATGGCAAGAATTTCTTTCTAATCAATTTGTAATAGAAATTTGTTAAACTTGATTTGCTTATATAAAAGATTTATAGACTTGAAGTTTGGTAATAGGTTGATGTTTTCTAATAAATTTGTTTGATTTTTAAGTGGTTCTGCTAGTTGATTAGTTTATAGATTAGGGTTTGTTGATATTTGTTATAAAATAAGAAAACAATATTTTGATTATCAAGCAGTAGTTTAAAAAAAAAAGCTTCTATCCAAAAAAAGTTTTAGATTAGTAGTATTAATAAAGCTATTTATTAAATATAGTTGAAGGTGTGGCCATATAGTTTAGAAAAAATTAGGTTGTGTTATTTGTAAGAGCTATATAAACTATGAAGGTTGGCAACCTCTAGTTGCTTTGTTTGTACAAAGATAAATATTGTTTCAAGAAAAAAGAAAGTTATTATTTGCTGTTGTGATTTGTTTTATAAATAGAATTTTGTTGTTTTTAAGACTATTAATTTAAGACTATTAGGAGTTAGTAGAAGTATATGTTCAGAAATAGAAGTAGGGTAATTTGTAATTTGTGGAGTTAAGAAAATTGTTATATTGTTTTTTTGCTAGTTGTAAAAGATAAAAAAGAAAAGTATAGTTTTGTGTTTTTTAAAGTATATAAGAAGTGTTTTTTTGGTAAGTTTTGGAAATCAGATTTTTAATAACCAGAATTTAATTCAAGCAATGCCAATATTATGAAGAAGTAAGAAAGTATTAAAGGTATATTTAATAGTAGATATGCTAACTTTTTGAACTATATTAGTAAAAGTGAGCAGATTAAAAGTAAGCAGATTAATAAGTAAAATATTGTTAGTGTTTTTTGCTATAGTGCTCCAAGTCACTTCTCATCAAATTATATATACTTTTTTAAAATCTTATAACTACAAAATTTACAACTTTATTAAAAAAATAACTGATAATAACTATTATTTTTAATTAGCTCTATCATAATTATCAGTTAAAATTTTTTTAAAAGTCTAAATATCAAAGTTATAAGCAGCTAAAGTTTAGAAAATTTATACAATTTACTATGTAATTTGTAAAATTGGCACCATGTTATAATATATAATTTATATAAAAATTGGAATCATATATATATACAATCTACATAAAATTAGCATGAAGATAGATTGTTTGTTCTAGTTAGTCCTAATTTTTATGAGACCAAATTAATAATGTTAACTAGACACAAATTCAAAAAAATTTGTAATGCTTGTCTTTTAGTTTTAAGTGTAAGTCTTATAATCACATGCTCGATCACGATAACCATTATTTGAAATAGATACAAATCAGGAGTTTAAATGAAGTTAGTAATTAGTATGAGTTAAAGGAAGTTTATGTGGAGTCAAATGTCATATGATTGAAATAATGATGTAATCGATTAAAGTTAAATGTAGAATAAATGAGAAAATAAAAAAAAAGTTAGTCTTTTTTCTTCCTTTACCTGTAAATTGAGAAGATTGTACTTTACTTCATCCTGCTTGTAGTTATATTTGTGTTCATTAAGGGCTGCGATAGTATGTAATGATAGTGCAAAAAAGTTTAAAAACCTCAATATCTCTATATAGAAATATGCATAAAATGACAGCACATTAAAAATTTTTGTTCGCCAAAAATAATATGTACTTAATATTATGCATACTACAGAAACTTAAAATAAGCTGCAACTGAATTTGGCTTATCTCTAATGTGTTGACTATATAAGGTTATTGTGGTTTTAGATTTTTTGCACTGTACCTACGTATTACATACTTCCAAAGGTGGTAACACAATGGGGCAAAATTTTCTTGAATATTGTTACGAAAATGGGGTAATTATTTCTAAATCTGCTGAAGGTGGTCAACAATATAATCTTAGATTTTGTTATAAAAGAGCAAAGAATGAAAAAAAAGCATTCGATTAGTACTTAAAACCTGCTAAATATGATTCTCTGGTACATAGGTAATTTAATGTTGGACTATGCTATATAAGATAAGTACTGTATAGATACTGCAAAGTAGGAAAGAAACATTTGAGTCATCTATATTAAAAAGGGTAACAAACTACCCAGTTTCGTTGAAGACAGATCCATCAAGACATAAAAATAATACATATTAGTTGAGAATGTAAGACCATTCAACCAATATAATAGCAATACAGCTATATTATCTGTAGGTATCATTACATTAATAAGCAAATGAAACATTTAAATCGATTATTAAATTTTACATTAATGACAGCTTGCAGCTGTTTCAATAACTAATGAAAAAAAAAAATACATCTAATAATCATTGAAGTTAAGCTCGACAAGATAAAATTTATTAAATTATGCAATGCTAAGACTTTTTAAAAAAACTAATTCAAATTTATGAATCTAACATAATGCATAGTTGATATTATTTTCAAACAAAAATAAGCATGAATAAAACTTAATCATAGGGTTCCTAGGTTCAGTTCAGTTCAGGTTCAGGTTCAATGAACCTGAACCTGAACCTGAACCTGAACTTCAAATTTTGCAGATCATTGAACCTGAACCTGAACTGAACTTTGAATTTATGA